TCCACTAAACCTTTGGGATTTTATACCGAATTTCTAATTCTAATGTTAAAGTAGAACCATGCCGATCCCTGTCAAACTTGGCAGGAAATTTTAGAATGAATGCGCTTGTACCCTACATCTAGTTATTTTTCGAGTCGTTTTATAGTTTTGCAATAATGGCCGCTAGGTTGGCTCGAATAATTTGTTTTGAAAATGTCTTATGCTGGGATGCTGCAAGGACCATCGCGATCCCAATACTCCAGATTTTGGGCACCTTTGGTCACTTGTTGCATGCCCAGGTCACACTGTGTTTGACAGTCCGATTTTGTAAAATGACACTTTACATCTCTACCGTGAAATACAAAATAACTAAAGAGCAGGAGCTATGTACAGTACCTGCGTTACGGGCTCTTGTATAAAGAGTCCCCCACCATGCCACTGGACAGGGATGGACGCGAACGGGTATGCTGAACACAGATCTACACTGGATGTATCTTATGCATTTACCACTCGGCAAAAGTCCAAAACGCCATGCTTTTTCATAAGTACTGACATCTACTATTTCCTCCGTTTATAATATACAGCTCAGGACAAAAAAGACGCATAACCCCACACCCAGATATCCGTACGCATGTGGCAAGTGCAATTGTACGACAACCGGATATTTTAGCTGAGCCGTACAGCGCACTGCGTTGCATGCGTTCGGAATGCTGTGGGTGGGATTATACGTCTTTTTTGTCCTAAGCTGTACGAAAGGGGCGGTGCCAAATTGTTGGTGAACGAGATCGGAGCCTGCGGCTCCCTGCCGATTCTGTTTCGATTGCGATTGTCCATTCGGACTCGGCAGGTGAATGCTCTACGAGCAATGTACAATAATCCCGAGCAAAATAGCATACAGAGTACATTACAGGAAGTGCCCTTGGTTTAATTTTCTTTATGGATATATACTGCCTTGCATTACTTTTATATTACGACAGTTTTATTACTGATTTAGAACGGACGTAGGGCTTAAATAAGGCACTAACGGCTGATACCAAAAGTCGTACTCTTCTTGATAACATCCGGTTCACAATCCTGACCCTCGTCAAAAAGGTGCTGGTAGCTTTAATGGCCGTCCAAATGACGCAGCTGCACTACATAATGATCAAAAATAGTTTCACGCATAATTTGATATGCACGACTTGCTGGAACCAGACGATTTTACTGTTGATAGTCTATGGCAATTTCGAAATTTATCCAAATTTCTTGCCTTTTTTCGGCATATGGCTCTGCGGAATTATACGGTGCCGGAAATTGCCAGGAATACGGGCTACGGGTTCATCGACGACAACAAGTTCCCGTATATCACAGCAGGCTTTGCTGAACCCCGGGGAGTTTCGTTTGTGATCCCGTATCTCATGCTGCATTCTGCTGATGGTCATGCTGGTATGCAGCGGAAGTTTTTGCAAGCGGCGGAGAAGAACTGTCCTCCAGTCGACACCGCAGCGTATAATCATGTATGTCCGGTCCATCCATCGGCGGTGGGTGGAAGCTCTTGAGTATCCCAATCAGTGGCATCTCGTTCGATGTCTCTTTCAACTGTAGGTTCTTTGAAAAGCTTGTGTGAGTACAGTGGGTTTATGCCTTCTGAAATTGGATTTTTTGTGATATTTGTAGGTACGGCGGTTTCCAGCCCGATGGCGGCAAACGTAATTGGAAGGATGTTGATCTAAGACTGGTGGATGTGTCCACCCTGACGAAGCTGACAATTGCAGTAATTGATGCGTCGTTTACGCTGTCGCACTGAAATACCTTCCAGAATGCTCTTACGCATTTTCATTTGTTCCCAAACATGGATTTGGCCGTGTTCTCTTCGGCTGCTTCTCCAGGTTATTGCAACCGTCCATACATATCACCTGCTGCTGACAGATCTCCTCCATACCTTAACCAAATCCCTTTTTAATCTTTCGCTTACCTGTGGTATGTAAAATAAAGATTTGAGTTTTTCGAAAAAATTCGTGCACATTTAAACTTTGCTTTTGCCGCAACTGCTGATTGTTTTGCAACTCGACGGTTGTTTTTTTATGTTGATGTATGTGTATTGTGTGCATGATTTTGGTGTTTCCGTTAGCCTTTTTGTTGATATTAGCGCACTGCCAAAAAATGTTCTTCTTTTCCGTTAAGCCTTTCACGGTTTAAATGTAACGTCATCGATCACTGCTCTACAACCGCCCCATCCAATAACGTCCTCATGTTTAGTCACTTTGACTATTGTGCATTTACAAGGTACATTGTGAAAAATTGTAATGTGCAAAACAAAATTAAACGCACGGTAATCTACTTACATCGTAAATTGTAAAAACTTTTACAATTCCATTCCCAAAGTCGCTGCTGAATCTGACTGCTGAATAAATTTATTGGGTATTTTGTTACTTTCGATTACTTTGTGGTGCTTAAAACTCTCACAACGCACTACAGTTACCGCAACGATTCATTCAGTTCTATGATAAATTTTTCTGATTATCAAGTTCGATCGATAAATTTTCCGATAAATACCTTTATACGATATCAATTTTGTCGTTCGATCGAATTTATTAACCAGAATAATCATCGTAAAATTGCTGAATTGTTGTGTGGTGGGAGCTTTTTAAGTACCATCATCGCGTTTTGCACGAAGTACACCGCGGTAAGAATCGCCGCTGGCTTGCGACTGGAGCACCGGTCACCAGACCACACCGCTGTGTTTGCGGTGAGTAGGCGGATGCACGCACCTATGGCACACTTCGAACATGGTTATTTTTTTGGATCAACATTCTTGGCTTGTAGTCCGGTTGGCCACCGTAGTCAAATGTAGCCTCCGTCGCTACAGAGTAGTTTTTCCGCAGCATATATTCCAGTAACCGGTAGTCCATTTTGTCTCGTGTAGACGCTGAACTTTTGGTAGTCTTTGTAGTTTGTGTAGCCACCAGTAGTCCCTGTCGACTTATGTGGCCGCTGAACTTTTGGATAGTCTCTGTAGTTGCATGGTGGCCAGAATCTAATATCGTGCATGCGAATATCTATAATAAAAGGAAGTAATCAGTTAGAGAACATCCAAAATCTGCTCAACTATACACAAACCAAAAACACATCATCGAGATCAAGCTGCTTCTCAACAGTTCCCAACACACAAGCAGCATTACCGCGCTGAATCTCTATACTAAAACGCTGTAACAGAAAATGCTTCGCGCGGATTTCACCGGTCTGCTCTCTGATGCGTCTAGCCATCTCATTGATGAAATCCATGGTAAGAGGACCGCAGCTTCCCATTGTTTCCAATGCTACGGGTTGGAAATTGCACCGATCACCCAAGTCAGCGTACTTGCCGCACTTCCGGTGTTCGACCGCTTCTGCTGCAGCGCCTGTAGTTTGTGTAGCCACCAGTAGTCCATGTAGTCTTAAGTAACCGCTGAACTTTTCGGTAGTCTCTGTCTAAGTTTGTGTAGCCTCCAGTAGTCCATGTAGTCTTATATAGCCAAGAAAGTTTTGATTAGTAAGTATTAGGGCACACTTCCTATACGACGATTTTTTGGGTCCACATTGTTACTCATACGTTAATTAGTGACTTCAATAACCAGATAAACCACTTGCACAGTTACTGTAAAGTGTAAACACTCTCCTGAAACATTGCTGATAGTTGTGTACAAATTATCAGTATCAGCGAATTATCCACGATTGAACGGTAAGAAACAGTTTCATCCCACAATCAGCAGTACTTCTAAGTTCTGAATACTAATACTTCTAAGTTCTGAATATTTAACACTTCTAATACTGATGGGGTGACCTTTAGGCAGGAAAGTTTTCTTAATTCCAAAAAAATTGTTGCAGAAATGTTTTGCTTACAAGCTAACATTTTCCATTGAGTTATTCGAACAAATACCAGACGCATATCGTTTTGTAGAGAAAAATCAGCTCTGATAAGCAGTATTTTTTATAGCGAGGTGGTTTTCATAGTTATCGTTTAAAATAAATGTAAAGTTAGTATTGCAAAACGTCCAGTGACGTGTCTATGCGCACTTCAAAGATGCCGCCCATCGCGCATCTTAGATACCGATCTTCTGCTGCGCTGACCGCGGATATGCTGCATCGCGTGGTTATCAGTTCGGCAGATCATATCCGGATTCAGTGGGAGCTGGTATATGGTACGCTGTATGTTCTGAGCATTGAACATCTCAACTCAGTGCAATTTTTGTTTCTGGTTCTACAAACTGGCAATTATAACTTTGAGGATTTCGAACGCTAAATGCACGCAAAAATATCAACAATCCATAGACGCTCTTTGTGAACTCAAAACTAGAGCAAATAAAAAACATTATTTTCCGCTAACGTAGATGTCGCACAGGCAGGCCAGCGCTCAGTGCGCTGCAGAAGATCGGTATCTAAGATGCGCGATGGGCGGCATCTTTGAATTGCGCATAGACACGTCACTGGACGTTTTGCAATACTAACTTTACATGCATTTTAAGCGATAACTATGAAAACCACCCCGCTATAAAAAATACTGCTTAACAGAGCTGACTTTTCTCTACAAAACGATATGCGTCTGGTATTTGTGCGAATAACTCAATGGAAAATGTTAGCTTGTTAGTCAAACCTTAATGTTTGACCATGGAGTTTGACGCCTTAACTATAACGTTCACTACTTAGGACCCCGTCCGTGCATAAAAAATTAAGCAAAACAATTGTTTCCCGTACTAACGTTTCTGCTACAAAATAAAATGGTTGACAGCAAAGGACAATAAACGTTAGCCAAGATATGCCGGAATAATTTGGAAATATTTAAAATGCACATTCAGAGCGTAAAACTGGCACTTGAACAAATGCTGCATGCGGTAGTGTAAGAGTAGCTGCTAACGTGGCTCTTTCCGTGAGGCGTTGTGAGTTACATAATAAAACCTGCCCCAGTGGTATTTGAAACAGCCAAAGTCACTCGGTAGCACGAGGGTTAAAAATAACCCGTTGGTGTTTAAAGTTGCTATGGTTACGCTCATTACGCACGTCCGCTACAGTCTTGTAGTAACCGTGGTGGTAGTTTCCATTGAACTGCCCGAATTTTCTTCTTTTCCGAACACAACAAACAGTTGCGTCTTTTCCGGAATCTCACGACCTTTGCCGACTGGAGGTATTTTCGGCCGTCTCGTTTTTAACTGCGGGGAGTTGATCCTGGAGTCGTTGCTAACCAAGTCTGCGCCCTCTTGATCACCACGCAGTTTTTTCTTCCATAGCCTGGCTCTCCATACAAAGGCAGTGTAAGTCGCTTTCACCCTCTTGCGAAATTTTGTACTGAATGCACAGTAGAGGTAAAAGTTGACGGAATAGGGAATCAGCTTTATGGAATCGAGAGGACGCCATAACACGTCGTAATTTTGGTAATTAACTGAGCAGAATGGATACTGCGACAGTTGCCCCAGGGTGTCGTTGATGGCTGCCGGCAGTCTGCATATCAAATACATCGACACGGCGGAAACGAGAAGCGGTGCCTCGATCTTTTGTTTGCCTCGGTGTGGCACGTTAGATACTCCCGGTTCAGCTGTGAATACGAGTTGGGTGTGTAGCCGGGCACCGTCGCGGTGATAGGTCAGAATTTTGTAAATGATGGTCGCGTTGCATACCAAAAGGATTGTGAACACGACAAATGTCTCCACTAACTACAGATCAAAATGATTCCGTTTAATTACTAAGTTATATAAAACTAAAAATAGTATGTTGTTTTGTACTCCGTAGATAGTGGAAATCGTGTTCCATGTTTGTATATTTCGAGGCAGCGAAGATGGGAAGGCCAGTGACGTTTCCACATCGAAATTCGTAATGTCCAGCACAGCCAACAAATAGTACTGAGCGACGGCCTTATCAATACAAGTTACGATTCCATAAAGAAAACAAGTTAGGACAAGGATCCGGGAAACTTTGGCGGAGACTGGATACGTCAAATGGGCTCTCACAATGGCACGAAACCGCTCAATGGAAAATACCACCAACACCCTAATAAATCCTTGTTCAGTCAACAAAATAAAGTTGAGAGATTTAGATTATTTTTCAGTACTTAAACCACACTGAGAATTATTAGTACAGTAGTCCTTAGTCCTTCCTTAGTCCTTACCAATCCGCGAATCTTGGGAATCCGATCTGTAGCCAAATATACAGACCTTGTATGTAGTCGTTAACATAGTCGAAAGTGTAAATGCTGTTGAAAATATCCGGGTTGACAACGAACATGTACTCAGGAAAGTAAATCCACCTGTGGAAAGCAATGAGATCATTGTCTTGTAGAAAAATATTTGAATCAAGATTTTTAACTTGTATAAAGTGTTGCAAAAACAATTGTTTTTGCAAAATCTTGTTTAATCAAATCGGTGCAAAGAAGCCACTTTGGTCTAATTTTCTATCGATAGTCTGGCATAACACCAACGTTCGAAAATTTACGCTTTTTCTTTTAGCATTGTACAGACAGGCTTGTGTGTACGGTATGAGTACTTACTGGGTTATAGCTGCTATGTAGATCTAAATTATCTAACAATATTAAAATTTGATGCAGTACGAGTAATGTATAGAAATGTAAATAGCTGCTGTACTTGTAGTCTGTAGGTAAAACAATGTCACATAGGGTCACAAATTGTCACGTAACACTGCACTTATCCTTTACGGCTTTACCGTATGACTTACACTGTCAAAAGATCGCCGACCGCAAGAGCAAGCAATAAAACATCGGCACTTGGTACATGCCGAATGGTTCCAAAAACTGCGATAGTTAAAAAATTTCCAATGGTGCAGAAAAACAACAAAATGGGATAACAAACGACAAAACTGTACTCCGAGCGTTCCTGCGCTTCGGTTGCATTATAACTGTCCGTCCAGGTGCACCCGTATTTAAGTATGCTAGAGTTGACCGATTGATTTGCTTTCATTTTTCAATAACAATCAAAACCAAGTAAAGATTAGTTAAGTTCAGAATTATTTCTATGCCGTTCTTGGGAATTCTCGAGCTTATCATTAGTGTAATTAACAACACTAGGAGTATTAACGGAAGTAGTCATTAGGCCAGTAACAATAGCCACGAAGACATACATTTGCCCCTCGGCATGCAAACGTTTGCAATCACGATTATTAGTATTATCCCTTCAAGCAACCATACAGTAGAAATAACTCAACAAATTTTCCCGCTGGTACTGTGTGTTTCTCGGTAAAATATCAATCAATAAATAATCGATAACAATCATTAAAAAAGCTGTTTTGTTAAGGATAATGACTTACCTAGAAAGGTTCTGATTAATTTCTTAACGGCGTTTTTAACTGGTAGATGGAAACGGTGAAAATAAAGGCATAGGCTTCTCACGGCGGTAGAAGCAAAAGTTAAGTTAAAAAAGCCACCAAAGCACTTTCTGAGCTATCTGTTTTCAGTCAAAATGTCTCGGAACCAGATCAACGGTTTCCAAGAACGTGACATCGTATGGGCCGCCTAGGACGAATGCAGCACGCTTACTAAACAGCCGCTAATTTCTACCTATAGAAGTCATCGCCAGTTCATAAATTTCAGTACTTCGCAGGGGACCTCTAATCTGCCTCTCATGCATTAAGGAAACCTTGTTTCCTACGCGTAGCTGCTGCTTAGTCGCTCACACGAAGCACCTTAAAGTCGACTACACTTCTGGCCAAGTCGGCCACTTCTGGCCTTCTGGCCAAGTCGGCCAAGTCGGCAAATACCGGTTGCGCAGCTGTGCGCGAGAGCGAAGAAATTGCTGAACTTGGGTTGTTGGCGTTTTTAAACTGTGGTCTGCCTGAAGCTGCTTCGTGTAAGCGGCAGCTGTGCGGGCGGGTGGGCGAAAACAAGGTTTCTCTTAATGTAAAAGGGTAGAACTAGAGGTCCCTTGCAAAGTACAAGAAATGGTATATTTTCACCAAAGCGCGAAAGCATTGCTAAAATGTTTGGCCAATATGGTATGCATGGCATCGTTAAGTCGAATGCATTTTGTAATAACCGGAAGGCAGAATGTCCGTATGTATTACTTAACGGCTTAGATGCATCGGGTGGGACTGGCGGGCGATAATTGCCCATGGATAGTTCATAATTCATGGACAAAACGGTAAAGGCAGCCAACGGGTGGAGTCTGTCGAAAGATCGCAACTTTTTCTCACTTCACATTGAACGACGTCCTGGCTGAAATGTCTTGTCCGGTGCCCTCCATCGAAGTGGTTTCCGCAAATAAAGTTGTTCATGGTAACCAAATCTTGGGTGCTACATATCCAGCCCTTAACTGGAGAACAGCGCTCCCGTCTACCATTGCCCCGATCGCTGCACTTTGCGATTTCTGTACTTCGGCTTCACGGGAGATATTAACAATAACATTCCAAGCGTACCTTCGAAACAACATTGCAGTACAGTTGTATTTATTAGGTACTCGTCGCTGCAGCTACAGTATACTGTACTATAAGAAGTACATTCAGTACTTTTTGCAGCAATAAGATGGTGTCCTGAAACAATCGGTATTTTATCATAATAGCTGGTGTCCCTAAAATGGTGGCCCGAGACAAAAAATGGTGCCGGGAGCCCAAATGGTAATGAAATGTGATGCTTGGAGCACTCTCCAGCTGATACTGGGTGTAGACTAATTCTTCTCATTGTTGTCTGGTGTGCTACAAAAAAACTTATATTCTGTCTTTCGTCTTTCTGTCTTTCGTTTTTGGGCTTACCGTATTAAAATAACGGTACACCCTAAAATTTGCCGTTACTAAATATTAAGGGTATTAAAATAATAGTCTGACCGTTTTTTCCTTTACGAGATAATTATAACTGAATTACTGTAAATTCCGATTTGTTAACCGGAACGATTCGTCACCTGGTACAAGTCTACAATCTATGATACAGCAAGGAAAATGAGTGAGTCACGTTAACTATTATATGAAAGTTAAGTTTTACTTAGCTAATGTTAAATTGGCGCAATTTACGTATCCTGTACAGTTGTTTCCCTGTTCATCTCGGCACCGGCAGCATGGTGCCGTGTGCTTTTTGCCGTTCGTGCGTTACAGCTCACTGACATTTGCATTTCTGGTTTTTGCTGCGTTCATACTGTTACGTTTTGAATTTAAAGTTCCCTAGACTTGAAGTTCCCTAACATTCCGTCGGTTCTCCGTTGAATAACGTTGTTCACAACAATCTCTTATTATGCCACCGAAGAAGAAGCCCAACCGTAACCTCAGCCCGAAGAAAACGCGTTCTGGCGGAGGCACCAGAGGAGGCCGGGCTCCACGAAATAACACGCGTCCTAGTCGAAAACGCAATCGATCCCCGTCCCCCGCTCCCACAATCAGATCGCAAGTGGTGGTAGTTGACCCACCTCCGCTTGATTTACAGACCCTGATCGCACGCCAACATCAACAGCACCAGCAACAAATCCAGCAGCTCCTGGACATTGTCACACCGCTGGCAACCAGGGAGCTTGGGGTTCCCCGGCCAATTTCTCCAGCGACTGCATCTGTCATCCAGATTGAGTCGCATCCGGATGGAAAGAGGGTTGTGCATCAGAGCGGTGAAAGCAGTGGACGCTCGCACCGCCGACGTAGAGGTAAGAGCAGCAGTTCAAGGAGCCGCTCGTCGTCTCGCAGCCGCTCCCCTGCCCGCCCGCCGATTTTCGACCGCCTCGGTCCGCATCCCGGCGGAAATCAACACAGCGGTAATCGTGCATCATCGTCTATGCGTAACGCTCTGCTCAATCGGGCCAAGCACCTGCCCGCCGTTCCCAGCAGGGTTCGCCGACGACTAGCGGACCCATCTCGGTACGTCGACTTCGATGGTTTGCTACCAAAAAACCGTGTCGAAAAACCAAAGCATGGAGGCTCTAAGCTGGTGATGTCGAGAGGACAGGTGGTGCTAAAGCCAAACGAGGCGCGCGTAGTTGTTGACTCTTTTACCTCTTGGATCCGCGCGTTCTCCGTATTCCTGGCGTACCGCGTCACAATTCTGCCGGAGCTGGCCACCGCCCTGGCTAAATACCAGGATCTAATTGCGGCATACGTCGACCGGGGGGTCCCGACCGCCCATTGGCTCGAGTATGACCGGCAGTTCAGATCGCTCATGACCAGCCACCCTCAAGAAGTCGATATGTGGGCACGGCAGCATGACGACACGTACGCCGATTATATTCAAAACGCAGTCCCCGAGGAGGCTGCCAGCGACAGCGCTAACGAAAGCCGAATGAAGAAGACGGCTGCAGCGACCGACAAATGCCGAAACTGCGGGGAACTGGGGCATTATATCGCCCAGTGCAAGCAACCACGCCGCGGCCAAGCCGGATATGTTCCGCCCTTTCGACCGGCCCCGGCAGCGGGGGGCGAAGTCTGCCGCAATCACAACTACAGCCACTGCAGTGAACCGTGCAGGTACCGTCGCCTTCACGTCTGTGAACACTGCCGGGACAAAGACCATAAAACTCCACAGTGCAAAAGCGGGTCTCGCTGAACCGCCGAGAGTGCCTGCAAGCGCTCAGACGCCTTTGCGTGCTGACGCTTTCGCAAGACTGCTCGCGGATCACCCGGACGAATGTTTACGAGAATTCATCGCCACTACCCTGCGTGTCGGAGCAGACATCCGATATACAGGGCCGCAGCGAAGCCGCTACACGAAAAACTCAGCCTCCGCACGAATACATTACGACGTGCTGGTCAGAAGCATCCAAAAAGAAATCTCTCTCGGTCACACTGCTGGCCCTTTTCCGATCCCGCCTCTACCCCATTTTGTTGTGAACGCGCTAGGCTGCCGTCCCAAGAAAGACGGCGGACATCGGACTATCATGGACCTTTCCCAGCCATTCGGGGACAGCGTCAACGAACACATTGACGGAGACGCCATGCCCCTGCAGTACTGTTCAATAGATGACGCCGTCAGGCTGGTTGTGACCGCAGGAAAAGGCGCTGTGATGGCCAAAATGGATATCAAGTCTGCATTTCGCCTCATTCCTGTCAGGCCTGCCGACTGGAATTTGTTGGGTTACACCGTTAACGGTGAGTACTTTTACGACATTGTACTACCGTTCGGCTGCCGCTCGTCCCCTTATATTTTCGAATTTTTCTCTACTGCCATACACTGGTGTGTGGAGAAGAAAGCCAGCTTAGCTACGCTTCTACATTACGTGGACGATTTTTTCTTTGTTGGCAAACCACGAACGACCGAGTGCGAGTGTCTCATGCAGTCTATGCAAGTAGTGTGCAGCGAGCTTGGGGTGCCACTGGCTTTGGATAAAACAGAGGGCCCCGCAACTCGCCTGACATTCCTTGGCATAGAGCTCGACTCAGTAGCGCAGACATTGAGCCTGCCTTCAAGAAAACACCATGACATCACCGAAGCCCTTAGTGCATGGCGCGGAAGGACTTCCTGTACCACAACCGAACTCCAGAGCTTGGTTGGTACCCTTTCGTTCGCCTCAAAGTGTGTACCATGCAGCCGCCTGTTTACGAGGCGCATGATCATGCTCCTTTCCACCTTGCATGGACGCTCTACCGTTACCCTCGGTGACGATTTTCACCATGACCTGGAATGGTGGAGAACGTTTTTGCCTCAGTGGAATGGCACAGCCTCGTTTTTAGAGCCCGACTGGACAACTTCCGACGTCCTGCATTTGTACACTGATGCATCCGCCACGCTAGGTCTGGGAGCCTTCTTCCACGAGGAATGGTTCCAACTTAGGTGGCCACAGTGGATCCTACAGCGCCCGCCATCAATCGAATACTTGGAGATGGTTCCCATCCTCCTTGCAGTCATTGTTTGGGGGCCAAAATTGCGGCGTCGAAAGATCGTTTTCCATACAGACAACGCCGGCGCTGTGGAGGCATGGGCACACTTGCGCTCCAGCAGCCCGGGCGTTCTTGATCTTATGCGGCGTATGACACGAGCGACGGCTGACAATAATATGACATTAACCTTGAAACACGTTCGCGGCGTTGATAACGGCA